AATACTAAGAGGGGCAGTGTTATTTGTCAGATGGTTATTAGTAAAGCCAATCAGATATTAGTGGGTTAAAAGACCCCTCATCATTAGTAGCTGGTAAAACCAGAAGTTGAAACTGTAGGACTTTGACTACTGGTCAAAGAATAGATTCTGAATAATATCTCCAGCCTTTCTTAAAAACACGGGAAGCTCTCAACCATCCCCAAAGAACATAAAATTGCTATCTAGCTGGATGCTTTCTGGTAACGAACAACAGCAACAAAAAACCTTCTCTTAAGAGTTAATCCAAAGGGTCCTGTCAATCATCTGGACAGGAAATCTCTGTGTTCTGGAGACTGTAAGAAAAAGTTTAAAGCCTACCCTAAAAATGTTGGTTGATGCAATGGTCTCCCAGGCCATTGCCCACTCTTGTGCCTCACTTCACGAAAAAGAAACTCTATCTTTTACTCTATGTTCTGTGTGTCTCAGCTGAATTCTTTTGATAGAGACATAAAGAGAACAAGGAAGTTGAACAAAGGCCAGAGTGGAATCCTGGTAACATCATCTGGGTATATCCCTCTGGGATGGGGCAGGGTTGAATAAGGACTGACAAATAAAGACGATATCTGTCACGGAGGCAAGAAATATTGAGGGAGAACAGAACAGCTTACACCAAAACCCTAAAAGGAGACAGGATCTTGCATGCCAACCACACCAGGGACTGTAGAGGAGGCTGATGCTCTGGTTAGGAATGAACAAACAAGACAGTTGTGAGGAATGAGGTCAGAGAGAGGACAAGAGAGCAGCGCATCCTGGCTTAGAAACCTCTGTCAGGATGGGAGCTTCTACTCAGATGAGGGCAGGTTTCATTTCAGGAATCTAAGCAGAGAACTGAGATGTGCACATGATCAAAAATGATCTGAGTTGTTAGAAAGAACAGATTGCTAAGGTACAGGACCGTTTCTTTCTGTAGGCTTTACATTTAGGTAAGTTTCTTTTGTGCTCTGTTGGTCACTGGCGTCCATCAGAGCTATAAGCTCCCAATGAATGCATTTGTACCATCGTCAAACATAAATTTCAGGCTTATTGATTTACCTCTGAAGAAATCTCTGTTTGAGCTTAGACTGACTTTGGATCTTACCAGAAACTGTCATGATAGCTGGGAAACATTACTTTGATTAGCTTATCCCAGAGCTGTAAAAGAAGGTCAAATGAACCCAAATTGCATGGTTACTCCACAAGGGAAGGACAGAAGAAACATAAAACTGCCAATCACGATACTGTTCACAGTCCCTTTGTCAAAAATAGTATTTGCTTTCATAATGCTTATTCTAACTCAGCACAGTCTGGGACTATGCTGTTCTTAGTTGAGTACTTTAACTTCGTTAACAAGATCTAAGATTTTAATTGCTTCAGGTCAGTTTCCTGAACTGGTTTCCTTATGGGGATTGTTATAAAGGCATGAATCTCCTTGTATGTAAGCACTTAACACAGCAGTTATTTTATTTTTTAATTAAATGTATTGTATGTGTGTGTGTGTGTGTGTGTGTGTGTGTGTGTGTGTGTGTGTGTGTGTGTGTGCTTGTGTGTGTGAATAAGCATAGTATAGCACATGTGTGGTTTCAGAGGACAACTTGAAGGAGTCAGTTGTCTCCCTTCATCTCTTAGGTGCTGGACATGAAAAGTTTATAGTCTTAACCCGCTTCCAATTCACCCTTTTACTTTGTCCTTGCTGATGGAGATGTGACCTCTCACCTTCCTGCTTCAACTGCCTGCTATCATGCCTCCCACACCAGTATGGATGCTTCTATGGAACTGTAAGGCAAAGGAAATTCTCCTGTAAGTAGCTTTTGATCAAGATCATCACAGCAACAGAAAAGTAATATATTAGGCTTGGTAACAAGCATCTTTTTCTCTTTTGCTGTCTTGCTGCCCTAATGTTTTTGGTTGTTCTGGTTTTACATGTATTTATTTATTTGGGGGGATGTCACTGAACACACGTAGAAGTCAGAGGACAACTTGCAGGAATCTATTCTCTTCTTCCATGATGTCTGGTAAATTGAACACAGGTCACTGAGATTTTGTTTTTAACCTAAATAAAATATTTTGTACTTATTTTTGTACTGTAGTCCTTTCCATGTTTTGTGGCCTGGTTCTACTTTGGTAGTATAAGTCATCTGTCACTTGAAAATCTGATTAGCATTATTTATTGGAAATATTTAATAAGAACATTTCCTTTCTTAAAGAAATTATATTCCTATAGTTAAAAATAGGCATAGGGTGAGAAAGACACAAACTGGAGGAACAGTGTTCCAACAGAGACATCTATTATGAAACAATTAAGGACAACCACATTGGGAGTATTTTCAACTCTCGTTTCTCATTTCATCCTTTCTATCATTAAGGAGTCAAACTACTTTGAAAGCTAGAAATAGTAAGATAATATGAAGAGGCTGACTACTTCCATTTGCAATGTTCCTTTTCTTGGTAATATTTGTTATTTAGTCTATGAAAATTTCATACATATATTCAATATATTTTAATCATACCTATCCAATACTACCTCCTTCCAACTCCCACTAAGGTGCCATCTTGTGTCACTTCCAATTTCATGTCTTCCCTTTTTTGTTTTTGTTATTAACAGCCTTCTGAATTTAATTCGTGATGCCTTTATGAGCATGAATGTGGGGCCATCCACTGGGGCATTAGCAACCTACTGGCAGCCATGTCCCTAAAGGAAAGTGACTCTTAACAGACGTCAACTTTCAATAGTTCCTCATTTCAAGGGTGGGATCTTGAGGGTCCACTCCCAAGCTATACTGGAGTTCTGACTGACTTGACCTAACATAGGTCTTATGCAGGTAATAACAGCTGTTGCAAGTTGGTATGTATAACAGCCTAGATCAGATCCAGAAATCTGAATTTCGAAGTTAATTTCCTCTTTTGTCAGTCTTACATTTCTTTCTATCCTGTCTTTTGTGATGCTTCCTGAGCCTTGGATTATTGGAAGTTGATATAGATGATTTAGCGTAGTTAAGCACCCTCAGTGAGTCTCTACATTAACTGCTACCCAGTGCAAAAGGAAGCTTCTCTGAGCAAAGGTGAGAGCAAAACAAATCTATGGGTATCAACTTAAATATTTAAAAGCAGTTTGAGAGCATGACCAGTTAGCAAACCAATAGTAAGTTTCCCCTTAGGGCCTATGATCTATCCAGTCATGTTTAAAGTCCTGGGTGTGGTGATATTTTGTTTATGATCTAACAAATAAAGCTTGCCTGAAGACCAATGTGCAAAGCTAGCCACAGTAGTTAGCCATAGAGGCCAGGCAGTGTTCAATATACCTTTAATCCCAGCACTCTGGAGACAGAGGCAGACAGATCTCTGTAAATTCAAGGCCACCCTGAGTTACATGAAATTGATCCAGTCTAAATTTAGAAACAGAACTCACACAAAGGTGATCTCAGCACTTGGGATCACACACCTTTAATCTCAGCACGAGAGAGGACTACTATTAAGGCGGGAGGAGACAGGAGCTCAGAGCATTCTGAGGTTTGGTGGAGACAGATGCAATTTGGAGATGCAGTCTGAGGACAGGATTGCCCTTTCAGTCTGAGCATTGGTAGAGGTGAGAACTCTCCAGTGGGTGGCTGCTTTGCTTCTCTGATCTTCAGCTTCAGCCCCAAAATCTGTCTTTAAGTTTTTATTGTTAAGACCAACTAGAATTTGTGCTACACCTGAGCAGGAAACCTCTTGTAGAACAGGCCTTATATCCAGTCAGAAAGTGGTTGGTTACCACCACAACATTCATGTTACTATTGCACCAGGAAGCCCATCTTGTCATGCAAGTCAATACTGTTGCCTGCCGAGTCCAGTGCTGGGTGAAACTATTGATGTCTTCCTCTTCTAGAAGTCAGAATCACACAAAGTAACAGAGGTTACTGCCATTGCTCTTGATTGCTTATGATAACTAGGTGATAAAACCCTGTTGCTGAAGACACCCTTTACTTTGGATGTAGGACAAAGAGAAAGCAAGCTCACACACACACACTTCTGTACTCTTCTCTGCAAAGTTGTTTCACAATCTCAATTTTTAGTATACTATGATGATATTTCATTACATTTTCAGTTATTCTGGAATTACTATTTCTTTAAAATCTGGCATGGGGATGGTGGCTCAGCCAGCAAGAGGCACTTGCCACTAAACCTGATGACCTGAGTTGATCCCCCAGAAGCCACATGGTGAAAGTAGAGAAATTACTCCCACAAGTTGCCCTCTGACTTTCACACACATGCTGTGTCACATGTCCCCATACTTGGACACAGGAAACACAAGATAAATGCATGTAATTACTATTTTTTTAAAATCTGGCATGGGGATGATGGCTCAGCCAGTAAGAGGCACTTGCCACTAAACCTGATGACCTGAGTTGATCCCCCAGAAGCCACATGGTGAAAGTAGAGAAATTACTCCCACAAGTTGCCCTCTGACTTTCACACACATGCTGTGTCACATGTCCCCATACTTGGACACAGGAAACACAAGATAAATGCATGCATGTTAAGCCTTTTAAAATTCCATATATTTTTTGGCTTCTTCTCCTATGCCAACTATGCCAAACCTCTGTGTAATGGTCTATATATTTAATGCCTGTGTGTTCCATGTTTTTCCTGGAGATTCTTTTGGGTAGCATTTCTTTTCTGGTTCCACAAGAACATAGAGGCTGGTTTATAGCTAGGGCCTGGGGCGTCTCTCACCCACATTCGATGTCCTCTTGGATCACACATGGATGTCAGGTTTCCGGAAGCTTCATTTCCTTCACTCCTGAGTATTAACAGACACACCACAGCAAAAGACTTAAGCGTGTGGAGAAGCTTTTCTGTTACTAGTTTTGTTTTGTTTTACCATTAAGGCATCTAGAAGGTTACTTTTAAAAGAGATTTTAATTGATGTGTATGTGTGTGGGTATGTGCAGGTGAGTGCAGGTGTCCCCAGACACCAGAGGTGTCAGCTTCCCAGAAGCTAGAGTTATGAGCCAGGTGCTCCGAAGGAATGGTATAGGCTGGGCTTTTAACTGCCATGCCATCTCTTCAGTCCTCAAGCAATTACATTCTATCTTCATGTGTCAATGATAGTATGGAAGAGACTCCTTTTTCCCTCAGGATTCAATTTTCCCAGGATTTTGTTAAGTAACCCAAAGGATGTTCGTTCTCATTTTAGTGTAAACTTTTGACATCCTGTTCAAGTGCTTTGCTCGTTCTTCTGTTCAATTGTTGACTTTTTTGTTCACTTTTAGACTGCATGTTTATTGATCTAGTGTGTGTGGTATGTATGTATATACATACATATGCATGTATGTGTGCAGATAGATGCATGACATGGCCACCTGATAATTTGTAGGGGTTGGTTTTCTCTTTCCTCAGTATGGGCCTGCCAGATCATGTGGGCTGTCAGACTTGATGGCAAACACCTTTACCTGCTGTGTTATCTCTCCTTAGCTTTTGACAATTACTTAATTACAACAGCAACTGCTAACCTTCCCCAAGGTCTCGAGTCACATGTAGGGCAATTTGGTAGCATCTTCACAATTTATAAAACACACACACACACACACACACACACACACACACACACACACACAACTTTCATTTTTTATTTATGGCAGTTACCTAGGAGATGTATTCAGGTGTGAAAAGTGACTTAGAAACAATGGAATTAATTGCAGAATTACTCACAAATATCAATATAAAGACCATCTAAGGTCTCATTGATACGACTAGTTAAATAAAGTATAATATACTTGGTGGAACACATAGCCATGTAGAAAGAACAAGACATTCCTAAACTCCATAATGTATTTTTATTTCTTAGATTTCAAAGACACATTTTTAATTTACAAAATAATGCCAGTTACATAAGGATTATCACCTTTGAGTAAAGGAATACATATTTTTGTCCTGGTTTTCTTTCCAGTTGCTGTGATAAAACACCTGAGAGAAGCAACTTGAAGGGAGGAAGGGTTTTTGCCTCTCACACTTCCAGGTGACACCCTTAGCCACTGCTCTATTGCTGTGAGGAGGCACCATGACCAACTCATAAAGGGAAGCATTTCACTGTTGGCTTGTCTACAGTTTACAATTTACAGCCCATGACCATCATGACGTGGAACTCAGAAGCAGGCAGGCAGGCATAGCACTGGTAGGCAGGAGCAGTAGCTGAGAGTTTACATCTGATCCACAAACAGAGGGAAGAGACTGAGACTGGGCCACAAATCCCAACTCCCCATGACTCACCTTCTCCCACAAGTCCACAGCTCCTAATCCTTTCCAATAGTTCTACCAGTTGGGGAACAGGTATTTAAATATATGGCCCAGGGGAGGCCATTCTCATTCAGAACACTGCCCAGTTCACCATTGAGGGGGAAGTCAAGGCAATGGGAATTTGAATCAGCTAGTTACATCACAGTAAGAGCAGAGAGGGAATGAAAGCACATACGTTCACTATTCAACTCACTCTCTCTACCTTTATACAGTTTAGGACCCAATCCCAGGTAATGTTTTCACCCACAGCGGGGGCTGCATCTTCCCACTCAATTAATGTGATAGAGTCAGTCTCCCACAGACACACCCATAAGCCAATCTGATATACACCCCCCCCCAGGCTCTTCTTAGGTGACTCTAGACTGTGTCAAGTTGACTGCTAAATCAACCATTCAATATCAATACAGGTATCAAAATATATCTGAAAATGTATGTGATAAAGTGCCAAGATGGACGGCTAAGGAATATGGTACTGATTTGGGGGAGCAGGGTCCTAAAATATATGCTCTTTTTTCTTGTAATAGATATATTGGTACATAGTTCACATGCTCCAAAAGTCATGAGCATCAAGCTTCAATGAGTTTGAATATTTTTGGAAAATTGTACAATCCTTACCACATTGTAGTTTGGGATCTATTTACATCTATTTTACATTCCCCACTCGCAGTGTTAAGTAACCTAGTGTCTGCCTTCTGTTTCTAATTGTTTTCCTTTTCCAGGGAGTTTGCATACATTTTCATAGCTTTTGAATTTCCTTTTCTCTACTTTGAATTTATATTACCTACTTAAAAATAAAATTTTATCTAATTGGCCTTATTATTCTTTCTCTTTTGTAAAGTTAAATGATACTCTTCTGTCCTCGAAGCAGACCATGGTGGAGCTAAGAATAAAATCCTCATGTTGTGAACATGGTCCCATTTCCTATTTTTATTGCACTGATCAGACCTCATTTTGGCTTAGCCTATGCTGAAATTTAGATTTTATCATTGTTCACATGAGTGAAAATCTCTGTAAAAGGTCAAAACATTTACCATTCAGATGGGAAAGAACAAATCATTATACTGAAAGAAGATATGGGTATGAAAATAATACTGTCCAGACACTTCACTTTTTATTGCCTTATTCTGTTAGGAGTCCATAAAATGAATGGAATCTTGTCAGAGATTATGAAGTTTAGCCACCCTCTACTGTTGAGATTCATAATCCAGGCCATGGTTAACCCATTACAGATTTAGATTTGGGTCTGGCTTTACAAATTTACCTGTGACGTTTTCCTTGTACCAATCTAATTTCTTTAGTGACATTTTGAACCTTTGTGAAGAATCTCTATACAGATGAACTTATATGGACAAAGGACTGTTGTGAAAATTCCAAAAGTCAAACTTGTGGCCTGTTCCTTCCCCAGAGAATAGAGCGGTGGCAACAAGCTCAACAACCAGAGAGAGAGAGTAGCACCCTTTCTTAAGTATTTACTGCAGCCAGTCACATCATTTGGACTTCACGGCTATCAGGGGTAATGGCATCACTTTCAATCTCATTCTCATGAAAGAATACTTCATCCTTGGGTTATAACAAACATGGCTAACATCACATAGTAAATGGGGCATCTTAAACATGAAGCCAGGCTTTCATGGGTATGTTTTTGTGATATATACAGCATATAGTGCATACAATCTTATGCCACCACCAGGAGCTTACAATTGCATATGGCACCAAACTCTGAATCTGTTATTTCTTTCTGTATATCCATCTTCTTTATACAACTTATGATATTAGCCTCACACTACTAGTACATGAGACACAGCCAGTGATTAACAGTAACTAATAAAAACAGAGTAAATGTAAGGACATACTAATGAAGGTCATGTGAATGTGGTTTTATTTATTTATTTATTTTTGTGTGTGTGTCTTAAAATATCTTGCTGCCACTCAGGAAGCAGAGGCAGACAGATCTCTGTGAGTTGGAGGCCAGCCCGGTCTCCAGAGCGAGTGCCAGGATAGGCTCCAAAGCTACACAGAGAAACCCTGTCTCAAAAAAAAAAAAAACAAAAAAAAAAAACCAAAAAAACAACTTGCTGCATTTTCACCTCCAACGAAGCATTTTACAACTTCTTGGCATCCAAAAAAACTTGCTGCATTTTCACCTCCAACGAAGCATTTTACAACTTCTTGGCATATATGAATTGCCAGAATGACTAGTCTTGGATTTTGGGGGCCACTATTGAGTAAAATAAGGAACTCCTGCTTATACAAATCCTGAGCTATTATGACAGTTAAAACTGATGAGAGATACCTGTCCAGTGCATAACTAACCAGAAGATAGCATATATAGCCTTGATGCACTAGACAGGGAGCTGACTCAGGTCCTGACTGGGCAGAGAGGCATGGAGAAGATTTCACTATGCCTTATTGAGAATGGTGCATCATTTAAAACTTATAAATTGTTTAGTTCTATAATTTACACCTAATGTTTCCCAGCTATGGTTTACCACTGAACAAATGGCTGAAATGGAAACCTCAGGCAGATGTCCAAGGCAGCCTATTGCTGTGTTTGAAACATTAGTATCATTCCCAACTTGTATTTTACACTTATTCATTAATTCTTTTTCCTTTCCCTCCCTGCAACAATAAATCTTTCTGCCAAGCTGCCCGACCCCTGCTGCACGTGGGTGCTTTCTGCCAAGCTGCCCAAGTTCCGCCCACCGCCACATTAATGTCCCAAGTAACACAGAGAGACTTACAGTAGGTACAAATGCTGCTTGGCCAATGACTAGGAATTTTCATCTGCTAGCTCACTCTTAATTATCAAAATTCTATATATTTTATAAGACTTATCTTATCAGACGACAGAGGAAGCGTCCTGTCTTCCTGGGCTCACATGGTGACTCTCTGCTTTCCTACATTTCCCAGCATCCTCCTTGACTCCTAGTCCCACCTATCTTGTTTTCCTATTGGCCAACAGTGCTTTATTTATCAACCAATAAGACAAACACATACACAGAAGGACCTCCCCCATCATCTCCTCTTTTCTGTCTAAATAAAAAGAAGGTTAACTTATCTTTTATAATAACTGAAGAAAACTATAACCATAACTATCTGTCTTCAACTCCATCAAAGACCACAGAAGGATAATATATAAACTCTAGAACTGACAGAGACATCTCGCTGCCTGGACAGTCAGTCACCCAAAGTTCCTCTGTAACGTTGGGGCATCCATCTTCAGCTCATAGGCCACAGTGTGTCTGGCACACTTCTCCATTTAACAGGAACCCTTTAGTACTGCCTTGTTTTGTAAGTTTAGCAGTCATTTTCTTGTGGGTTCTGTATGTCCAGTTTATACAGCAACAAACAGTCCAGGCAAGAGCAGTTTCTTGCCCAAATGGCTAATGTTGCCATGTTGAAAGCAAACAAGTTTTTTCCATGCCCATCCTCCTTTCTGATGTAATTGGTGTGCCAGGACATTTACTCTGTCAAGAAAAACCCTAAACCATTTAAATGCCATATATTCTGTGGGTCCTTGAAAGGTTTGAAGAATACCTATCCATCTCAAATACATCTTTGTATATCTAGAAAACCTAATTAACCTAATTATAATTTTTGACTATTATAGATGGCTATATAATCTGTATTTAATCATGCATATCATTTTAAAAGATCTGCATAAACACAATACCTAAACAAGAGGATATAGATATCACAAAATTGACCTTAAAGTTGTATCAATTAATGAAAATCTGTACCAATGCAAAGTATTCATTCCTATATCATATTCCCTTTTTTTTTCTTTTAAAAAGAGATTGACTGTGATCATTACGATTTATAGCCAACCCCATTTAAATGAAAACAAACATTTATTTACGGTTTCTCCCTACACTACCCCCTTTGGTTCTTTGAGACATAGTCCTCTGTGTAACAGACCTAACTGTCCTGGAACTTGATTTGTAGGCCAGGTTGGCCTCAAACTCACTGAGATCCACCTGCCCCTGCCTCCCAGGTGTTGGAATTAAAGGCAGGTGCTACACACAGCCAGGCTACATACACTCTTATTTATTTTAAAATCTAGTACTTGATGTATCTTGACTTTTAGACTATCTCAAATATTTTCCAGAAAGTACTGACTTAAATAAATCAGCATATTGATTATTGTTGTATGTTAGCTCTCTTATAGTTTATTAGGAAGAAAAACAAAGAATGTATTTTAATGAATACTTGACACTTGAAAGAAGAAATTCTGTTTCTTATGACATAGTTTGTCTTCCCCAAGATAAAGCAAGAACCAATTAATCAATATTGATTGAGCCAATTTGAGATATATAGAGAATAAATGTTGTATTCCTCCTTCCCTTTGGGACATACACATTTAATTGTTGAGTGAAACCACGTGAACAAAAACCACAACACATGAAAAACTATTATTAATGGAAATGATAATGGGTCCTTTATGTATCATAAGTTAGTAGTGTAGACAAAAGGGAGGCTTTTAAAATGAATTGACAATCCCTGAGACAAATCAAGAGTGTTTGACCATGTGGTGGCTTTGAAAAGTTCTAATAACAACACTGTGTGTGTGTGTGTGGGGGGGGTATGTGTTGTATTTGCTTTTGAAATGGGTCTCACTAAGTTGTCCAGGCTGGTCTCATCCTTTGGAGCAGATGGGGTCAGGTTCTGATCTATCATTTAGAAAATTATCCTCAACCTACCATTTAGCGAAGTAAAATTCCAGCTGGTAAGGGCAAGGGTTTTCCTGAAGGAGACCTGGCAGATCTGGAGGGGGCACTGAGAACAACTGCAGGAATGCAGTTGAGTGTTGAAAAGTAGGAAGAGTGAACGAAAGAGGGTTCTGGCATTAGTGTCATCCAGTGAGCATTTTCCAAAACCAAAACTTAGTTGAGGCTATGCTCCAAATACATTAAAGGAAAACAGAAAACATGTATTATGCTATTAAACTTAAGATCTTGAGTCCTATGGAAAAAAGAGCGACTTTGTCTAGGCCATTTTTAACATTTTCACCCTCTCTGATGCTAACTCAATTGTCTTCATTCCCATTCTCATCTTTCCATACCTCCAAATATTGGAATGTACAAACACTCTGACACCTCGTTCAGCGTGTGACTCTTCCTATTTAGGGAACTGGGAGATATTTTTTTAATTTATTGATTCTTAACAGATGCTCAGTAATTACTACCCGAAATGAGGATCAGGTTTTCTTCCAGTTGGCCGGATTGATTCCATCCAGATTTGGAAATAAACGCCAATCTGATGAGCTCTCCTTGTTGAGAAGTATTGTTTTTACTAAGCAGTGGGTCTTGTTCAGTGGGATAAGACTTTTTAGGGTGGACAGTGTGTAAATACAGTGTAGGACGCAGCTATTAGGTATTTTCCCTAAGGCTAAGTGGGTGGAGGGCCACCAGGCTGAGGCTGGGACTGGCCTGTGTGGGTGGCAGTAACCCAGCTTGGGGTTGGAGGGAAAAGTGGAGACTGCCTGGGAGCAATCAATCTGCAGTCGGGGCCAGCCTGAGGCACACCGGGTGCAGGCTGGAGGCTGTCCCACTCACACCGCCCACAGAAGGGAACCCCGAAAAGTGGAAACTGCCTGGGAGCAATCAATCTGCAGTCGGGGCCAGCCTGAGGCACACTGGGTGCAGGCTGGAGGCTGTCCCACTCACACCGCCCACAGAAGGGAACCCAGGACACCTGCCCAGCCACTGCAGCAGGCACGTCGCAGAGGGCGGGAGCAGGCGCGCGGGCAGGCAGAGGCAGCCAACAGAGGGGGGGGCCCACCCCCCCCGGCCCCTCGCCCCCCCG